CCAGTGGAGAAACTCTGTCCAGTTAAGGGAACACAGATGTAGCTTCAAAGGGCCTCCAAAAGAGTGCTAAATACTCACTGATAAACTCATATCTTTCCAAAATTAAATTGTACAGTTCCTTGATATTTAATAATTCTCTCATATACATTTCAATAAAAGGTGAGTCTGTATTATTTAATTCAACCTTGAGCATGGATACTTTCCTCTTCTGAACTATTGATATAAGCATGACATTTAAATGTGCGCAAGTAGCAGCAATTCCATTTGAATCTCCTGATTGAGTCGATTACTGTGATGCTAACCATGCTCATTCCATCCTAAAGTTTAAGTAAACAGGACCACCCCTCTCTGCTCTTAGCCCAGGATTTATGGGGGCCGTGTGTCTGGCGCTTGGGAAGATATTGGCTTGCTCTCACCAGTGATTACATATACAGCATTGTCATATAATTTTCAGACTTTTTTCAAAGACTTCAAAGCTCACAGCTTTCCGTGAACTTGGTATCTGGGCATGTTTATCATGGCAAGGACTAAAGGAAGGAGTGCTATGCAGAAACTTCAAATTATCAGCACTTCACAAATGCATTCTGTGTGTCTATAAAATGTCAAAACATCCAGGAAAAAAATGAAAAAGTTGGTTAGTTCACCACCTATACATGGACAAAGCCAGGCTGGGGCAAATGTGGCTTAAATGATAGTTTGGAAGGGCTGCTTGATTTTTCCATGATCAAGATATTGTATCTTAATTGTTTCCTTTGCTAAATGAGTAGTGCTTAATTAGTAAGTAGAAATCAGTTCACTTCCTCCCTTCTGTCTTTTTTGAAAGTGACCAGATGTCCCATTTATGGGACTTATCCTTTGTGATGTGGTAGTGAGAATACAGGACAGGGCCTGTTTGTCTTAAGAGTCCACACTGCTTCACGAGGAGAGCCTGAGTGTAAAGACCAGCTCTGCCACTTTGGAACTGAAAACCATCAGACAAGTTACCCCGTGGGTTTCACTTACCTTGTCTATAAAATTGGGAGGATAATAATGCTACCTACCTCATCAAGCTGTGAAAAGATCACACAAAATAATACGTGCCTAGTCCATGGAATGTATTCTATAAACACTTTCTTACTGTTACAATTGAAACATTGGACAGGAGAAATAAAAGTTGTTTTCAGCCCAGGGATTAATCCCTGAAACACCAATAAAAATTCTCTTGTTTGGGCTCTGAATTCTACACGCCCATAGTTTTTGCTCATACTTTACTGGAGCACTTATATATTGATGTCCTACTATGCATTGATCACTGTGCAAGAGACTTCTCAAACATAATCCAGTCAAAGAATCAAGCAACATGTTAGCACTGATTTGACATCTATCTTTTCACAAACACTTTCTCATTCATGAGCTGAGGTCTCACTCTTTTGCCCAGGCTGGAGTGCAGTGGCACAATCATGGCTCACCACAGCCTCAACCTCCTGAGTTCAAACAACCTTTCTGCCTCAGCCTCCTGAGTAACTGGAATTACAGGTGTGCACCACCATGCCCAGGCTCTCTCTCTCTCTCTATGTGTATATATATATATATTTTTTTTTTTTTTTTTGAGAGATGAGGTCTAACTATGTTGCCTAGACTGGTCTCAAACTCCTGGGCTCGAACAATCCTCCTACCTCAGCCTCCCAAAGTGCTAGAATTATAAGCATGAGCCACCACATCTCCTAATAAGGACCTATTATGTGCCAGCCAACGAGCTATCGAAATGCAGCTGCCCAATATCTGTGGCTCTTACCAATCAATGAGTAAATTCTCCTAGAAAAGCAAAATTTTGAGAGGAGAGGCCTAGATTCCTTATGTTAGCCAGCACTTTCTGGGAAGACTTGTTCAGAGGGATGGCGAGTTATGCTTATGTCTTTGCAGTCTTTCCATGCTGAGTCCTGGCTGAGCAGAGCCACTGTGTCCTTTGCATGCTGAGCATCACTGTGCGTCATCATGACTCACAAGTGATCAATCACTGAGTGACATTTACGCATCGTGACTAACTGCTAGCAACATTTTGCTTCAGTTATCGGAAGCTTCTCAGAATGGTTGTGCTCTTAGGATAAGATCTGAATCACTGTCTCTGAGGGCAACAATGCATATTGCCAGGAAATGTATAACAAGCAACAGGGCACAAGAACAGCCTGGTCATGTGTCATTCTTCACCAGGAGGGATTTGATGTCTCTCCCTCCTTAACAACACTCATGATGCTTCCTCTCATGTAGCAAAGCACATGACACTCAGAGATATACACAGAGATATATACAAGGTATATACATGGAAGGGACATCATCTTAGAAATAGAGAGGGGGATGGAAGGAGTCTAACATGTATTGAATTTCAGAACTTAGGCTTCCTGTCAGCTACTTTCACGATCTTTCTACTGTACCACACCTAGTAACAAGATTTCTTTTTCTTTCTTTTTTTTTTTTTTTTGAAGACAGGATTTATTGAGAAGACAGAAAAGCTCCCATAGTGGAAGGGGACCCGAAAGGGTTACCCTCTTCTTTTTTTTTGAGTTGGAGTCTCACTTCGTCGCCCAGGCTGGAGTGCAGTGACACACTCACAGCCACCCGAGCGTCGACCTGCTGGTCTCCAGCAATCCTTCTGCGTCAGCCTTCCAAGTAGCTGGAACTACAGGCATGCACTACCATCCCCAGTTGATTTTTTACTTATCGTGGAGCCGAGATCTCGCTAAGTTACCCAGGCTGGTCTTGAACCCGTGGGGTCAGGCAATCCTCTCACCCCGGTCTCCCAAGGTACTGGGATTATAGGCGTGAGCCACCACACCTGACCTTAGTAACAAGATTTCACAATTACTTTGCTTTTAGCAAAGTTCTCACTTGTCAACTGGATTATCAATATTTGGGGAAATGCTGTGAGCACAGTCTGCCAACTGCAATGCTCATCTCAGTATTTCTCTAGCCACTGACTGAGAGATTCTATCCCATTTACCTTCTTCTGCCACGTATAAATCACACGGGGACAATCTCTCTCATATTCTGGTGAGAAGGGTGGTAGATTGGTACAACCTTTCTGGAGGGAAGCCTGGCAATGTATCAAACGCCCCCTGCATGTGTATTCCTTGGGACTCAGTCCTTCCATTTCTGGGAATGTGCACCAAAGAAATGATCTGCAATGTGGCAAATATGCATGTACATGATTAGCATGGGAAACAGCATTCCGGATCCAGATAGATAGACAGACCAGGCATGGTGGCTCATGCCTATAATCACACCACTCTGGAAGACTGAGACAGGAGAATTGCTAGAGGCCAGGAGTTCAAGAACAGCCTGGTAAAATAAAAAGAAAGATACCTGGGCAAAATTGCAAGACACTATCTCTAATCAGAAATATTTAAAAGATAGGTCTGAATGAACCCATCTACTCAGTCATTGGTTAGCCACCCCTGGACACTCTAAAAGTCACCATTGTCCACTTTGATACACTAATAAGTATCACCTCCCACCTAGTGACAGGTACTTAATTTAAGATATAATGCCAAGAATAAATTATTACCTAAGACACACACCTTGTGAAGTCAACCAAATTTTACTGACAACATATGTCCAGATGTCAAACAGAAATTAGAAAGAAAAATGTCTAAATAAAAACATTATCCAGTCAGGTGCAGTGGCTCACACCTATAATCTCAGCACTTTGGGAGTCCAGGGCAAGAGGATTGACTGAGCCCAGGGGTTTGAGATCAACCTGGGCAACTTGGCAAGATCTCATCTCATCTCACCATTCCCAGCTAATAAATCAAAATTAGCTGGGAATGGTGGTGCACACCTGTAGTCCCAGCTACTTGGAAGGCTGAAGTGGAAGGATAGCCTGAACCCAGAAGGTTGAGGCTGCGGTGGGCATGAGCATGCCACTGCATTCTAGCCGGAGTGACAGAGTGAGACTCCAACTCAAAAAACAACAACAAAATTGCATTCTAATCGCTTTTTATCTTTTTCTCCCTTTATCGCTCTCTTATACCATACCAACCACTACCTCTTCCTCCTCCATCTTCCAAGAAGTCTGTCTGCCTTGTAAATCCTTTCTTTTTTATTTTTTAATTCAAAGTAGATCATATGGAATTCAGTTGCTGTTATGGTGGAAACTGTGTGAATAAATGAGGTCATTAAACATGTCTGTGCAATAGGTGAGTCAATATTACTTGGTGACTTTGACATATCAGACTAATAGCTCAGGTATTAGTTCTCACTGTTAACAATCTTACCTACAAAACTTCCAATTTTGGCTTAAGCAAATTCACTGGTTATTCTAGAATATGCATATTAGGAAAAGTAACTTTATTAACCAATGTGAGCAAAAGAGACTAATTTTGTTAGAAATCACATTTTATCTTAAGTTCACCAGCACAGCAGATGTTTTCTGCTTGATGAACAGATAGAAATTAAAACTGAGTAACCAGAGTAGGTATCGATTTGTAGAGAAGGTAATACAAAGAGCAGGGACAGGTTATCCAAAAGAGGGTTCTGAGGGGAAGTACCTTGAACCATAAAACCAAGCTCCCTCTGCCCAGGGCTGCCTGCCTAGTCTCCTTTGTCCACAGCCTCCTCCTCTTGGCCCCATGAAATCCAAAGACCAATCCTTTCATTTTCTGAATCTGAACTCCTAAACCTTACTGAAACTTAGTCTCAAGGGCTTACATTTCTGCAGCATCCTGTACTTCTCCTTTATACACTTGTAACTATTGACTGAATTATCTGTGACTTTTTGATTAATGGTGTCTGTCTTCTTAAGACTTAAAACTCCCTGAGAACAGATTGATGTAAACAGAGACAGATGTATCATCAACGTCTGTCTAATTTACAGCTCTATCCCTAGCATAAAAATATGCCTAGCATATTATTGGTACTCAATAAATTTTGTACCCCTGCTCTAAAAACCAAGTAACATTCTCTACCACATCCAGCCTCTTGAAGTCTCTGACTGGAATATACTCGTTGAAGACCAGTGGCTTTACCTTGCTCCACTCCTCCAGGACTGCCATCCAGTCCCTGGACATCCTCGGGCCTCTGAATCATGCTGGCTCCCACCTCCTCACTGGTTCTACTATCCCCACATCCTGTAACTGAGTCTTTCCCCAGGTATGAGCCCATCACCTCCCAGGTGCTATCTTTCTGCCAGGTCCTGCTCTTCCTTATCTGGTCCCTCTTAATACCAACAGAACTCCATTTCTGAGTATGGAGAGACTCCAAGCAAAAAGGCCCTCAAAGTACCTCTACACTTAAGGCCTGAGAGAGCATGGAGAAAAATATTGTGAGATGAGCATCAATGTAAAGTTATGTCGAGCCACTTACTACAAAGTACCAAACTGTCCTAAACCCTAATAAAGTCTCAGTAAAGGCATTTATTTTTTCTTTAATTTTTTATTTTAAAGATGTGGGGTACAATTCAGGGTTAGGTATATGAATGTTCATTATGCAGGTACCCCTGTTGATGAGTTGTGCCTCCCCCCTCCCCCAGCAATCCTGCCCTCAACCCCCCACCGGCAGTTTCCCATTACTGCCAATCCTTTTCTTATAGTATTACGATGAAATTGTTCAAGGTCAGCTTATGAATGAGGACACGTGATACTTGATTCTTTTGTTTCTGTGATAGATCACTCAGTATTATAGCCTCTAAATTCATCCAAGTTGCTGCAAAGTTCATAATTCTGTCCTTCTTTATGGCTGCATAATATTCCATCGTGTATATGTACCACATTTCTTTTATCCAGTCCTCTTGCGATGGGCAGCACAGTTGGTTCCATGCTTCTGCTATTGTGAGTAATGCTGCAATAAACATGCATGTACAGGTATCTTTTTCATGGAAATTGGAACTGGCAACCAATTCCTCATCAAAATCTCAAGTGCCCAGGCCGTAAGAGAAAAGATAGACAAGTGGAACCTCATGAAACTGACAAGCTTCTGCAAAACCAAAGAAACCATTGAGAGAGTGGGGAGATAGGCCATAGACTGGGAAAAAATATTTGCCAACTGTATATCTGACAAAAGCCTAACATCTAGAATCTACAAGGAACTCAAACGTGCCAAAAAGAACAAAACAAACAGCCCCATTACAAAGTGGGCAAAAGATATGAATAGACACTGCTCAAAAGAAGACATATGAGCAGCCAACAGATATGAAACAAATGTTTAGCCTCACTAGTCATCAAAGGAATGCAAATTAAAACTGAGGCAAGCCGGGTTCGGTGGCTCAGCCAGTAATCCCGCACCTCTAGGAGGCTGAGGTGACTGGATTGCCTGAGCCCGCATGTTCGAGACCCGCCTGGGCAGCGAGACCTCAACTCCACAACAAATCAAAAAAATCAGCCGGGCGTGGTGGTGCATGCCTGTAATTCCGGCTACTTGGAAGGCTGAGGCGGAAGGATCCCGGGAGCCCAGCAGGTCGAGGCTGCGGTGGCCGGGAGCAGCCACTGCACTCCAGTCTGGGCGACAGAGTGAGACTCTAACACAAAAGAAAAAAAAAAAAAAACTGAGGCAAAGCAAAAGAAACCATCAAAAGAGCAGGGAGACAGCCCACAGAATGGGAAAAAATATTTGCCAACTGTACATCTGACAAAGGCCTAACATCTAGGATCTACAAAGAACTCAAACATGCCGAAAGGGAAAAAACAAACAGCCCCTTTAAAAAGTGGTCAAAAGACATGAATGGACACTTCTCAAAAGAAGATACATGGGCAGCCAACAGACACATGAAAAATTGCTCAGCCTCACTCATCATCAGAGAATTGCAAATCAAAACTACATTGAGATACCACCTAACCCCAATAAGAATGACCATCATTAATAAAACAAGCAACAACAGATGCTGGCGAGGATGTGGGAAAAAAGGAACACTTCTACACTGCTGGTGGGAATGCAAACTAGCACAACCTCTTTGGAAGACAATGTGGCGATTTCTGAAAGAACTAGAAATTGACCTTACATATGACCCAGCAATTCCCCTATTGGGAATATACCCAGAGGAACTCAAATCATTCTACAAAAAAGATACCTGCACATGTATGTTTGTTGCAGCTCTATTCACAATAGCAAAAACATGGAACCAACCGTGTTGCCCATTGAAGCTGGACTGGATTAAAAAAATGTGGTACATATACACAATGGAATATTATGCAGCCATAAAGAAGGACAAATATATGGACTTTGCAGCAACTTGGATGGATTTGGAGTCAATCCTACTCAGTGATTATCACAGAAACAAAGATCAGAGTTCCATATGTTCTCACTCATAAGTGGACCCGGAACAATTATAATGCTATAAGAAAGGGATTGGCAGTAGTGGGAAACTGTCAAGGGAGGAGGGGTGGGGTTGGCAGTTGAGGGAAATTGCTGGGGGGGAGGGGCATACCTCATCAACAAGGGTACCTGCATGATCAATGTTTACATACCTAACCCTAAATTGTACCCCACATCTTTATAATAAAAATTTTTTTAAATAAGAAAATAAATAAATAAATAAACTACACTGAGATACCACCTAACTCCAGTCAGGACGACCATCATCAATAATTCAAAAAAAACAGAAGCTGGAGAGGATACGGGAAAAGGGAACACTTCTACACTGTTGGTGGGAGTGTAAACTAGTACAGCCTCTGTGGAAAACTGTGGTGATTCCTAAAAGATAATTTGCCGGACTCGGTGGCTCAGCCCATAATCCCATGCTTTGGGAGGCTGAGGTGAGTGGATTGCCTGAGCCCACGGGTTCGAGATCCGCCTGGGCAACTTGACAAGACCTCATCTCTACAATAAATCAAAAATTAGCCGGGCGTGGTAGCGCGTGCCTGTAGCTCCAGCTACTTCAAAGGCTAAGGCGGAAGGATCGCCGGAGCCTAGCAGATTGAGGCTGCAGTGGCCGGGAGCGGCCAATGCACTCCAGTCTGGGTGACAGAGTGAGACTCCAACTCAAAAAAAAATAAAATATAAAAAATAAAAACAAAAATTGACCTCCCATATTACCCCACAATCCCCCTACTGGGAATATATCCGGAGGAACTCAGATCACTGCCTCTCCAAAGGAGCATAGAGTCTACTTAGGAACGTGATTTATTCACAGATGCATAAGTAAAATATTTTTAAAATTCACTAATAAAGCACACACATGCAGGTTAAAAAAATGTAAATAAGAAACAGGAAAGTAATTACTGATGGCCACTTTGTCCATAAAGGGACTCAGAGGAGAATAATGATTGTTAGTTGTTGGTAGATGTAGGAGAAATACAGTCAGGCACAGAGGCTCATGCCTGTAATCCCAGCACTTTGGGAACCAAGGCAGAAGGATCACTTAAGACCAGAAGTTCAAGACTAGCCTGGGTAACATAATGAGACCCTATCGCTATAAAACTAAAACAAATGAAATAGTAGTGATAGTAGTGGTGACTAGACTTAATCAATGCCCATTGTCTCAGATTTCCACCATAAACTTGCAAAAAAGAGTATATCCTCCTTTTAAAGATAGTAAAACCAAGGCTAAATAGCTCTCTCAAAGTAACACACCTGGGAAAGAGTAGAACAAAAGTTTGAACCAGTGTCTGAGACCAAAGGCTATGGTTTGATGCTAAATGATTTTACCGGGAAAGAAATAAGAAGGAGGTTCTGCATGAGAGGCATGTCATGAATGGGATAAGCTCATGATAGAAAGTGCTTTCTGGTTAGAGTAGAAAACTCATTCCTGGTGGTTGCAAGGCATGAGTTTGGTGAATAAAAAGGACAAGTATTTGAAGGTCTTGATGATCAAAAAGAGTAAGAATTTAGACCTAATATCATAGGCATTAAAGAGTCTATGTGGTCCTTTAAATTAAACAATGACTAGTTGAAGATAATTTTTTTTTTTCACAAAAATTTTTTCTTAAATGTACAACAGGCTTTGAGACAACACTTCATTCTAGCTAGAGGTGGCCAAAGAAGTTATGTCAGGGAATACATAAGAATGGAATCAAGAGTCATCATCACTTCAGGAACAAGGAACAGCTCCTCTTTTTGTTTCTGCTTGAAAGCTTTATCTTCCTTGTCCATCTCCTTGGCTTGCTTCTTGAACTGTTTAAGGGGCTTCCTCTTGCTACCTTCGCGGCCGGACATGGTTCCTGTTGCTCCTTCTCCAGACCCTGTCACCGGAAACCAAAGACAACTCTTTTTTTTTTTTTGAGATGGAGTCTCACTCTGTCACCTAGCCTGGAGTGCAGTGGCACACTCATAGCCACCCCAGCGTCGACCTGCTGGGCTCAGGTGATCCTTCCACCTCAGCCTTCCAAGTAACTGGAACTACAGGCATATACCAACATACCTGGCTAATTTTTTATTTATTGTAGAGATGAGGTCTCACCAGGCTGATCTCAAACCCGTGGGCTCAGGCTATCCTCTCACCTCGGCCTCCCAAAGTGCTGGAATTATAGGTGTGATCCACCACGTCCAACCTCGAAGGTAATTCTTCATAGGGAGCTGAGTGTAGTGTGAAATCAAAAGTGGAGAGCAGAGGCAAGAGACCCAGTTAGGTCCTAGAGCAAGGGCTGAACTGAAGAAACCACTTCAAGAACTTAAAGGAAATGACCAAGGAAAAATAGGCAGCACAGGAAGATGGAGCATTAGAAAGGCAGGAAAGAGGGTGGAATAGGGAAAGAAGAGCATGAAAAAAGTAAAATCTCAAAAGTGCCTGTTCTGACAAACTGTGAAGGGCAATCATGTGGCCTAAATTAGAGTTATTTGGATGGAGTGAAGAGAGGAAATAAACTATAAAGACTAATAGAGAAAATTGATGCTTTAGCCAGTTGTTATAGATCATTTATTCTAAAAGCCTAGAAGGAAGATGAGATGGTAGCTGGCTGGAAAAGTCAGAGTAAGACTTTTGTTTCCTGTGTAATTATAATTAGGAGCTTGAAAGCAATAGAAAGAGAACAAAGGAATAAGAAAGACGAGTACATTGAGCACTCGCTGACATCTAAGAGGTCCCTCAGGGTAACCACGGCAACATCAGTGCCAAGCATAGGCACAAGTTTCCAAGCAGCACAGCCTAGTAATGTAATGCACCAGCCTACACCACTCCAGACCTTGACTCCTGACTCTTCCAAGACTGGCCTTGGGACTTTGTTATGTCACTT